TCTGCCTTTTACCTCCCACAAAATCAAAAATATTTGATATATTCCAAAAAAAGAAGCCGCAAATAGTCAAACACACTTTGTTTTATATTGTCAGTGAAAATCATTTCAATACAATCATTAATAATGGTGTAATTTAGCGAAATAAGTGAAAAAGTTACTTCCGAGATATAGGCCTGGAACGCCGGCCGGCCTGCCGTCTCCAAAAAAAAATTTTTTTTCGCGAAAATCGCGTTTGTTTCAGTGGTTTTCTAAGTAAATTGATGTTCTAGTGCAGTTATCCTCTTCAAAATACTGTTTTCTATCACTCACAGACCAAACAATACAACATGGAAACCAGGAGTATCTCTTATATCGAATTACTGCTGGTGAACTCTCGCCATATTATGGCCTATTTTATTCAGTCTAGAGTATATAACATGTTTGTTTGTTATTTATAGTGTTTATTATATCATATTAGATCAATTCTGATAGATAAATAAGCCGTATAGTTGATATATAAGCTGATATAAACGTAATAATGAAGTGATTTCACCTGGCACCATCTGGAGGGGGAGTACTGCCGAGTGTACCCAGGTGCTTCCTGATAGACTAGACGTCTATTGATAAGCTCCACTTACTCTTATATGATGCCAAATAATCAATTATTATATTAGAAAGAATAATGCAAAGAAAAAGCAATAAAAAACAAGGAAAAAATTCCAAAAAATACATGGGTTGAGAACAGACGCGCTACCTACATCACCATTACCATACCTGATATAAATGACTATAATTTCTTGTAGAAACGTCTTAGAACATTGATTCTTGTACCATTGTGTTGCCAAAGAGTTAAGCTATTTTTCGGTATATATAACTCATTTCCATAATTTTTCGATTTTTGGTTGAGCGCGCGTGGAAAATTGCCCACATGCTCCCTTAAATCATAGGGCTTCACAAAGCTGGGCACCAGATGAAAGAAATAGTGGAGAATGTTGTTGTGTGTGAGCATTCAGTGAGGAACTGGGTGCAGCGTTTCAAGGCAAGTGGCGGTGTCGAGTTACCGTCTGCCAAACCTCGGCCTGGTCCCTCGAAGAAGACATCTGTTCATACCTTAACTGTGTTCAAGAAGTAGTTAGAGAATACACCTAAGATAACTGCTGGAGAACTGATAGAAAAGAACCCACATCTTCTCTCAGAGGTGTCTGTAAGAACTGTTAACAGACATGTGTCAGAACTCGACTACAGTAGTCACCACCAGGTTAAGAAACTGATCCTCTCCAAGCCACAGAAGAAATGTAGGCTAGATTATGCAAAGAAATATCTTCACTGGAATCCTCAACAGTGGTCTGAAGTATTTTGCAGTGATGACGCAACCTTCACCACCACCTGTGGGACCACCAAACACCCAGACTCACTCATGGTTTGGGGGCATTTCAGTGCTCAGAATGTTGGTGAATTCATTGTCCTTCCCAAAACCCAGTACATGAACCTGTGTAATTACCTGGAGTTATTGTATGACAACTTACCTGAGGCGTTTGACAAGTGTTTGGTAATGGTTTTCGTGCAGGATGGTGCACCGTGTCATACCATCAAATCTGTAGTTCAGTGTCTTAAGGACTGTGAAGTGAGGTTCATTATTAACTGGCCAGGCAATTCCCCAGACCTAAACTCTGTTGAGAACCTTTGGTCAATAGTGAAACAAAGTTTACTGGGCAAGGATATCAGTTCCATCCCATGGCTGGAGGCTGCTCTACATGAGGCATGGAATAATATACCTCCCTACACCCTTAAGAATTTGTGTGTGAATCTTCCTACACTGCTGAGGGACGTGATTAAGCGTAAAGGATGCAGCACCAAGTATTAAAGCCTCAGTAAGTGTGCGAATATATGTACAGTAGACCGTCGTTAAACACGGTAGTTACATGTAGTTACAATAGTTACATGTTAGACAAAACCATGTTAGACAAACTGAAGAACTTATGGGAAAAATAGGGTTACATTCCTGGGAGCCCCCAAAAGGCCAAACAACTTTTTTGTAGACTTCTAGGTCTGACAAAATAAAAGTGAATATGTATTTGTAGTGCATTGTCATGATATATTACTGCTTTATCCTTAAACTGTCCAAACGTGCGTAGCGCTCCGAACGCAGATCTACGTTTTTTTTTTTTACATGATTTCAAATGGAGAAAATAAAGGTAGCGCTATGCGCGTGAACGTAGATCTACGTTTGGACAGTTGAAGGGTTATGACTACAAATGTAATAGAAATAATAGTATTTCTTACCTTAAATTGTGGGTAATGGTGTGTGTGGATGGTTGTGAAGAGAGTGGATATGGATGGTGTGGCCCTACTGGGCTGAGATGGATGGTTGTTGGTTGTCAGCAGAGGTGGGTGGTAGAGGTTCTGGTACTGAAGTCGATGGCTGTATTGGAGTGCATAAATTCTGTAATGGATCTCTGGGCTCTTGTACCCTGCAGTACATTATACAGCTGATGGTAAGGCATCATCAGCTGGTCTAGACCCCATTTCAAAGTACTGCTTCTGGATTTGTCTGGGTCCTCTTTAGTGAAAAAATCTGCTAGTTTAGCAGCAACATGGAACTGTTCACATAACTGCTGCAATGTTAACTGTTTTTCTTCAGGCTCTTCTTCATCATCTGTTACCTCCCTCCCTTGTATCTGTGCATTGAGCTCTGCCAACATTTCCTCTGGACTCCTGTCTTCATCATCATCATCTTCTAAGAGCTCATTCACATCTTCAAAACCATCACCTGGTAATCTCCTTGCCAGCTGAACAATTTCCTGAACCTGACTCTCAAGCAAGGGAAAACCAGTGGAAGAATTAACTACAGAAGTCCATAACTTTCCCCAGCCTGCATTTAGTGTTGATTGAGATACTTCACTCCATGCACTTCTAGCATAGCTGATGGCATCTGCAATGTTAAATTTATTCCAGGTTGGAGTCAGAGTCCATTGATGCAACTAGTTGTTTCTTAACTTTTTTTGTGTAGTTACACTTGAATGACTTAATAACTCCCCGATCCAGTGGTTGTATTAGAGATGTTGTATTTGGAGGTAAAAATGCAACTATTACATATGGAGTCACATCCAGCAAAGCTTGTGGATGAGTACGGGAATTATCAAGAATGAAGAGAGCCTTGAATGCAAGTTTCTTGCTATGCAGGTAAAACTTGACTTCAGGAAGAAAGTGATGCTTCAACCAGTCAATCGATATTTCCTCTGTCATCCATGCTGACTGCTTTGACCTCCAAATTACTGGTAAGGTGTTTTTATATACACCTTTCAAAGCACGAGGATTCTTAGAGCAGTAAATAACCATGGGCTTACACTCGAAATCACCTGATGCATTACCGCAAAGGAGCAAGGCGAGGCGATCATTTGCTGTCTTGAAGGCTAGTGCACTTTTCTCTTGCTGACTGATGTAAGTTCGTGTTGGCATTTTCTTCCAAAAAACCCTTCTCCTGTCAGCATTAAACACTTGATGTGGCTCATAATCATCCTCAGAAATAATTTCCTGCAATTCAGCAGGGAAATTACTTGCTGCTGTATGATCAGCTGAAGCACTTTCACCAGAAAACTTAATATTATGTAATTTATTATGCAACTTAAAGGTGTGGAACCAGCCTGTGCTAAACACACTTTTTTCAGGCCTTCCTTCTTTATCACACACGGCTTTAAACAACTGTAAGGCCTTTTCCCTAATTAAGAGGAAATTAAGTGGTGCACCTTTCTTTGTCTTTTGTTCAATCCACTCAAGCAACAAGTTTTCAATTTTATTTACTTGCTGTGATCTGTGTGTCATTCTTTTCACAAGATGACATCTTGGGTTATTCATTACACAAGCTCGTATATTCGCCTCATTCTTTTTAATTGTACGAACTGACACTTCATTAAGGCCATAGGCCCTTATTATATCCACCACACGTGAGCCACTCTTAGGCTTATCTAATATCTCGATTTTCTTTGTAATTCCTTGACTTGAACGCTTAAACCTTTTCATATCACTTGCGGGAACACTTGTATGCTTACTGGGTGCCATGATTGCTGTTCAGATTTAACAAATGACAATAAAAATAAGAAAATATATGTCAACAAACAGAGCGAGCTTCCCAAGTATCATCGTCCTACACGCATATGAATCAAACTGAAGGCTGGGAGGGTGGTGTGGGTGGCGGGGGATGGCAGTGGGTCTCCCCTACCATCGCACAGGGGAGACCCGGGCAACTGCGTGCTCAAAATTTTTTCCCTTCCCGCAACCATGTTAAACTAATTTGTGCTATAACCAAAATGTAAGACAAAACTGTGTTAAACAGCTGTCTACTATATTATAATCTTTCATGGTATGTGTTTATGTTTTGGTATGTGTGTGGGGGAGGGGCGGCATAATGCCGTGACTAGCACTGTATATTGATGACACAGTAGTGCAAGTATTTTATTGTATACAAAGGTTAGCCATATGTACATGGCGCATGATCTGGGTCATATGGACTAAAACAATTGCTGGAAAATGTGAAAAATTGAAAAGAACAAAAAGTGTTAAAAATAATAAAATCATGCAGAGCGCATGACAGTCACCAGTGTTTGTTTCAGCAGGTCACTGACCTTCAACTTAATGCTTTCAAATCTTGGTAAGTACTGTAGAAATAAAGTAACTTTTTGTTTTATTTAGAAATCGGAATATTTACAAAATGTATCAGTGCACTTGAGGAGAATTTGTTTATCTAACTCTTCCTACACAAGAATTATCATTATTGTTGTCATCACAAAAGAGTGCTAAACCTCTTTGAGCCATTTAGATCTACTATAAATATTGTACCCCTCAAGTGAGGTGCTTCAATGTCCATGGAACTGAACTTATCCCCCCAATCCATTCTTGGATTGAACCTGATTTCTTCCCATTCCTCATTCACTGTCTAACCTCTACAGGTTTAAACTTACCCCTGATCAAAATAAAATGAAAGTAATGTAAATATTTTAGGATTTTTCACTTTTTTTTCAAAGGTGCTTTGTGTGCTGTGATAAGGAGAGTTGCACCAGACAAAGTTGCTCTTGCTCCTGAGGAGTTATGTCGACTTTTGGAAGCTGATATTCTTGGCAAGGTTCATGAAGCCCTGGAGGAAGAGGCTGAAGCACCACACTCCACTACACAACAGTCCAGAACAACTTCAGTAAACAGCACTATCAATGGAGTTAGATCAGCAGATATCTGTACATTAGACAATGAAGATAAAAAGAAAAATGTGCCCCTAGCAGCAGCGAAGACTCCATGTGATCACAAAGATTCTTCTTCCGATGAAGGTGAAAAATAAATTATATTTATTGGTGTAAATGTTAACATATATAAATAATGCACTTGCATAATTGTATATAAATGAATGCCATGTAGTTTATAGAATGTTTATAGAATGTATTATGCCTGCACTTTAAAGGAGGGTTTGGGATACTGGCAGTTTGGAGGGATATGTTGTGTATCTTTGTACATATATGCTTCTAAACTTGTTGTGTTCTGAGCACCTCTGCAAAAACAGTGATTATGTGTGAGTGAGGTGAAAGTGTTGAATGATGATGAAAGCATTTTCTTTTTGGGTATTTTCTTTCTTCTCAGGTCACCCTGCCTCGGTGGGAGACGGTTGACTTGTTAAAAAAAAAATAATATAAACTTAAAAACTGGATGAAAATTGGGTTTATATTCAAACACTGTAATTCAGGAAAAGCTAGTTATAACATTGTCTTACTTCCAAGAATTCATACAGCTCTATGAAAAAAGTATCAGTGAATTAAAAAAAAATTTTATTACTGTTTTTTTTTTTTTAGAATTACAGTGGACCCCCGGTTAACGAACTTTTTTCATTCCAGTAGTATGTTCAGGTGCCAGTACTGACCGAATTTTTTCCCATAAGGAATATTGTGAAGTAGATTAGTCCATTTCAGACCCCCAAACATACACGTACAAACGCACTTACATAAATACACTTACATAATTGGCAGCATTTGGAGGTGATCGTTAAGCGGGGGTCCACTGTATTTATGTTCTAATTTTTTTTATATATTGTATAGTACTGTATTCCAGTAATTTATATACCAAAAGTTAAAAAAAATATATTGTTTACTTTTCTGTAAATAATTGCCTATTCTCTTTAATACAGTAAAAATCAATAAAATTCACTGAGGTCATAATTAATTCCAAGTTTTATATATTCACTCTCTGACATTCTTATGTTTGTCTGCCCTCCTCTCTGAAGGTTCCACCATTGTCTGCCCTCCTCTCTGAAGGTTCCACCATTGTCTGCCCTCCTCTCTGAAGGTTCCACCATTGTCTGCCCTCCTCTCTGAAGGCTCCACCATTGTCTTCCCTCCTCTCTGAAGGTTCTACCATTGTCTGCCCTCCTCTCTGAAGGTTCCACCATTGTCTGCCCTCCTCTCTGAAGGTTCCACCATTGTCTGCCCTCCTCTCTGAAGGCTCCACCATTGTCTTCCCTCCTCTCTGAAGGTTCTACCATTGTCTGCCCTCCTCTCTGAAGGTTCCACCATTGTCTGCCCTCTCTGAAGGTTCCACTATTGTTTGCCCCCCTCTCTGAAGGTTCCACTATTGTCTGTCCTCCTCTCTAAAGGTTCCACTATTGTCTGCCCTCCTCTCTGAAGGTTTCACCATTGTCTGCCCTCCTCTCTGAAGGTTCTACCATTGTCTGCCCTCCTCTGAAGGTTCCACCATCGTCTGCCCTCCTCTGAAGGTTCCACCATTGTCTGCCCTCCTCTGAAGGTTCCACCATTGTCTGCTCTCCTCTGAAGGTTCCATCATTGTCTGCTCTCCTCTGAAGGTTCCATCATTGTCTGCCCTCCTCTCGACAAGTTCTACCATTGTCTGCCCTCCTCTGAAGGTTCCACCATTGTCTGCCCTCCTCTCTGAAGGTTCCACCATTGTCTACCCTCCTCTCTGAAGGTTTCACCATTGTCTGCTCTCCTCTGAAGGTTCCACCATTGTCTGCTCTCCTCTGAAGGTTCCATCATTGTCTGCCCTCCTCTCGACAAGTTCTACCATTGTCTGCCCTCCTGTGAAGGTTCCACCATTGTCTACCCTCCTCTCTGAAGGTTCCACTATTGTCTGCCCTCCTCTCTGAAGGTTTCACCATTGTCTGCCCTCCTCTCTGAAGGTTCCACCATCGTCTGCCTTCCTCTGAAGGTTCCACCATCGTCTGCCTTCCTCTGAAGGTTCCACCATTGTCTGCTCTCCTCTGAAGGTTCCACCATCGTCTGCCCTCCTCTGAAGGTTCCACCATCGTCTGCCCTCCTCTGAAGGTTCCACCATTGTCTGCCTTCCTCTGAAGGTTCCACCATTGTCTGCTCTCCTCTGAAGCCTCCACCATTGTCTGCTTTCCTCTGAAGGTTCCATCATTGTCTGCCCTCCTCTCTACAAGTTCTACCATTGTCTGCCCTCCTCTGAAGGTTCCACCATTGTCTGCCCTCCTCTCTGAATGTTCCACCATTGTCTGCCCTCCTCTCTACAAGTTCTACCATTGTCTGCCCTCCTCTGAAGGTTCTACCATTGTTTGCCCTCCTCTCTGAAGGTTCCACCATTGTCTGCCATCCTCTAAAGGTTCTACCATTGCCTGTTCTCCTCTGAAGGTTCCACCACTGTATGCCCTCCTCTGAAGGTTCCACTGTTTCTGCCCTCTAAAGGTTCCATCATTGTCTGCCTTCCTCCTCTAAAGGCTCTACCATTGTCTTCCCTCCTCTGAAGGTTCCACCGTTTCTGCCCTCTAAAGGTTCCATCATTGTCTGCCCTCCTCTCTAAAAGTTCTACCATTGTCTGCCCTCCTCTCTGAAGGTTCCACCTTTGTCTGCCCTCCTGTCTGAAGGTTCCACCTTTGTCTGCCCTCCTGTCTGAAGGTTCCACTATTGTCTGCCCTCCTGTCTGAAGGTTCCACCTTTGTCCTGCTCTCTGAAGGTTCCACCATTGTCTGCCCTCCTCTCTGAAGGTTCCACCATTGTCTGCCCTCCTCTCTGAAGGTTCCACCGTTGTCTGGCCTCCTCTCTGAAGGCTCCACCTTTTCCGTCCTGTCTGAAGGTTTCATCTTTGCCTGCCCTCTTCTCTGAAGGTTCCACTGTTGTCTGCCCTCCTCTCTGAAGGTTCCACCTTTACCCTCCTCTCTGAAGGTTCCACCGTTGTCTGCCCTCCTCTCTGAAGGTTCCACCATTGTCTGGCCTCCTCTCTGAAGGTTCCACCTTTACCCTCCTGTCTGAAGGTTCCACCGTTGTCTGCCCTCCTCTCTGAAGGTTCCACCGTTGTCTGGCCTCCTCTCTGAAGGTTCCACCTTTTCCGTCCTGTCTGAAGGTTCCACCTTTGCCTGCCCTCCTCTCTGAAGATTCCACCTTGGGTAAAGACATTCTATTTGATTTCCTAACTGACACTGTTGCTTCATCAACTATAACCACTATCCTTTCAATTTATCAACACTTTTCCCTTTTCCTGCTCCTATCTTTCTGCCATGAAGCACTCTAAGGACCTTGCAGGTTTAGTGTTGTCTATAAATATATTTATAATGCAATTCCTTTGACCAGTAGCCATTCACCAGTTTGAAGTCATACACCTTGAAAGGTCCAGTATTATTGAAATTGACATCATAACTGCAATAGGAATGGTTTGCTCAATGTGTAATACAGTATACTGCTGTTGCTCTGCTTAACTCATTTTGATTATATACAGAAGGGTAAATTTAACATTACTGATCATGCCATAGATGTTGCTAAGTGGAACATTTTATGTAAGTCTATTAAAAAAAATTGTTAATAAAATTTTATTATTGTTTTACCAGTGGCTCAGAGAAGGTGTTTTGCTTTATGGAACAGTTTTGGTGGAAAATGCAAAGTATTTTCACTGAGAACTGAACATTAAAGGGAAAACTGAATATTTTCATGGGTGACTAAATAGATGATGCTGCAGGTAAAGGAATAAAATCTTATTGCAGCATAAATTTACAATACTGTCAATACAGGACTATATTGTAGAGCAATGCAAGATATTCTTTAGTTTTCTATCATGAGAAAAAAGTGCATATAAAAATCCATGAAAAGATTAACTGTTGTTGTTTGTTAATGAGGCTAGCTCTTTGTGTAAACTCTTAGACAGTATGGAGCAGCTCACACTGTGAGTCAGTCTCATCATGTTCCTGCACTAACATGAGTCAGTTACATCATGTTTGCTCAGCGTGTCAGCGTGCCTCGTTGTGCTCCCGGTTTTCTGGTGTTTTCACGGTCGCTCTTACGTGCTAGAACTTTAATTTGTGTCATCAATCCTATACGATACATCCCTCTAGCGCCTGGAACCAATCTTGGGCGGAAAACATTATATACTGAGTAAAAAAAGGAGAATTGTGTGCACTACCTAGCAGAGTTTACTGCCAGAGGGGAATCATAGGCCTGTCCCGTGTGGAAAAATAATAATATTGAACTTTGTGTCAGAGGAAAGAAAGTCTCCCTGAAAGCATTGAGTATACATAGTGTATAGTGTATACTACAGTGGCTCCCTAGTATATTGATGATAAAGGCTAAAGTGTCATTTGAAAACAGGTGAATTTGTAAATGAAGTGATAAGCCTATAGAGGCAGGTGCCAGAAGTCGCCAGAAACTTACCACAGGTCAGCTGTTTTTAATAATCTTCCTGGCCTGCTAGTGTACTCGCATATAATCTAGTGATACCAGTGAATAGCAGAATACAGTGTTGTAGTAGCAACTAACCAGTATTATAATGGTACTTAGTGGAGTGGAGTGACTTTCATTAGTTTCTTTTTCTTGAAATACCAGACGTTACTGTGAATTTCATATAACCTGTAGTTACCAGCGGTCGCAATATACACAACGAGAAGCAATTATTACTACAGAAAAAGCGCCCTTCCTCCAAAATTTGCACCAGTCAACTATAGTGATAATATAGCATTTATTGTGGTGGAGACGGAAAAAAAAAAAATAGAGAAGCTAGATACAGCGATTGATAAACAAAGGTGGAGGCTCGACCGTTCGTCATTGTAGGAGTGCCAGCAGTCACCGGCTCTTCAACACGCAAGTTATACTTTTGTATCAATCAAATCACATATTACTCGGGTAGATAATTTCCAGTAGATCCTTCATGTGTTAGCTCAAATCACCGACCAGTATGGTTTAAATAAGTGACCCACTGATCAGATCAGATAGACTGGTCCGAACCCTTGACTGGTCCGAACCCTTGACTGGTCCGAACCCTGGACTGGTTTCAAACGGTTTCGTTGTGCACCACCTAGCAGGTTATTAATAGAATATTCAAGAGGTTGCTAGTAGAATTGCAGTAAATCAACCATTCAAATCATTATGAAGCTGTGTGTAGTCTGTGGTCAGTCAAACAAACGGGCTTCCACATGCATAAATTGTCATTTCTGTGGAAATTGGTGTCACGCCCCTTGTGCAGATATCCAAGAACTAGCTACAAGCAGTATTAAAACAGGGAAGTGTTTTTGGGTATGCCCAAATGAGATAAATCTGTGGACTAAAATCACAAGGGTATTAAAAGAGGTCAACATCAAAGCTGCTTTCATAGAAAACCTGGAAGCTTTCTACAACAGATGGGAACATAAAAAGTCCGGGCTGAATGGTACTGCCCTTGATACTGGCCATGTAGTCAGAAACTGTAAGGCTGGAGATGATGTCCTGGTAGTCAGTAAATGGGGGGCTGATAGTGCTGTCCTGGGAGACAGTAATGGGGAAGCTGGAGGTGCTATCCTGGGAGACAGTAATGGTGAAGCTGGAGGTGCTGTCCTGGGAGACAGTAATGGTGAAGCTGGAGATGCTGTCCTGGGAGACAGTAATGGGGAAGCTGGAGATGCTGTCCTGGGAGACAGTAATGGTGAAGCTGGAGATTTTGTCCAGGTAGTCGGGAATTATACGCAGGAAGGAATACATATGAATGACCTCATAGGGGACAGGAGCCATAGTAGGGAAACAAGTGTAGTCAAAGATAAGATAAAACCAATATTGCAAACTAGAAATACCGCAGGAAATAGCAAACAAGAGGACTCCACTAGCAATAGTGAGGATATATTACCAAAAACAAATGGTGGGAGCTCCATTGTTGGTGCTAGGGAGGATAGAAGTAAGACAGGGAAACATGCACCAACAGGGAATACAGTCACAGAAACCCAAGGCAAACGGAAACCAAGCCTGTGCACATACTATGCACTCGGTATCTGCTGGCATGGGAAATCTGGAAAAACAGATGGGACGTGCAACTATGACCACCCTAGGAAATGCCATGCCCATATGACAACAGGAAAATGCAAACTCCCTTCCTGTAATCTTTTTCACCCTGAACTGTGCTATAACTTAAATTGCCAGGCATACCATCTAAAGGGGACAAAAAGATACAAAACATCCAGGCCATGGGAAAACCTGGGTAGCCACAGCCACTCAAGAGGGAGAGGTTTTTTAGTGCCAGGAAGGAAAAAAAACTGGCAGGAAATGGCAGAAATCGTACACCAAATCCAGTCATTCCTGGAGTGGAACCACAGTCGATGGCCTCCACTCCAAACCAACAGATACAGATACTAATGCCGGAAAAAAAATCCCCCCCCAGTACCAACAATACCACCAGTCCGATAACATTCTTCTTTGCAAATATACAGGGTCTAAAGCCAGCAACAAACAACAAAATACCTTTCATCCGTGGACTGCTTGCAGAGGCAAAGGCAATGTTCGCGGCTTTCACTGAGACCCACATAAAGGATCACTTGGACAACAAAATATGGATCCCAGGTTACAACCTATACAGATGTGACAGAGTGAACAGGCAAAAGGGGGGGGTTGGCCTGTACATTGCAGAGTCACTTGTTTGCACAGAACTGCTAAATGCCTCAAATGATGTAGTGGAAGTTTAGCAGTAAAGGTCGAGAACCAAAACCTAGTCATTGTGATAGTCTACAAGCCTCCGGATGCAACATCCCAGCAATTCCAGGAACAGCTGTTAAAAATTGACCACTGTCTGGAAAACCTTCCAGCTCCTGCACCCAACATCTTGCTCCTGGGGATTTCAACTTAAGGCACCTAAAATGGAGGAATATAGCAAATAATATTGTTGCAGTAATAACACCAGGAGGCAGCTCTGATGAAAACTCACACTCACGCGAGCTTTTAAATCTCTGCACAAAATTCAATTTAAACCAGCAAATAATAGAGCCTACTAGACTGGAGAATACACTAGACCTCATCTTCACTAACAATGATGATCTGATAAGAAATATCACCATATCAAAAACAATATACTCAGATCACAACATAATTGAGGTTCAGTCATGTATGCGCAGAGCCCCAGACCGACATAATGAGATTAGTCACGAGGGAGCATTCACCAAATTCAACTTCAATAACAAAAACATAAAGTGGGACCAAGTAAACCAAGTCCTAACCGATATAAGCTGGGAAGATATACTAAGCAACACAGACCCCAACTTATGCCTAGAACAGATTAACTCGGTAGCACTCGATGTATGCACAAGGCTTATTCCTCTAAGAAAAAGGAGGAGTAGATGTAAAACAGAAAGAGACAGGCGCTCCTTTACAGGCGACGGAAAAGAATAACAGAGCGGCTAAAAGAGGTCACTATATCTGAAATGCGTAGGGAGACACTGGTCAGAGAAATAGCAAGCATCGAACTTAAGCTAAAAGAATCCTTTAGGAGTCAGGAATCGCGGGAAGAACTAAAAGCCATAAATGAAATCGAAAGAAACCCAAAGTATTTCTTCTCCTATGCCAAATCAAAATCGAGAACAACGTCCAGTATTGGGCCCCTACTTAAACAAGATGGGTCCTACACAGATGACAACAAGGAAATGAGTGAGCTACTCAAGTCCCAATATGACTCAGTTTTTAGCAAGCCGCTAACCAGACTGAGAGTCGAAGATCAAAATGAATTTTTTATGAGAGAGCCACAAAATTTGATTAACACAAGCCTATCCGATGTTATCCTGACGCCAAATGACTTCGAACAGGCGATAAATGACATGCCCATGCACTCTGCCCCAGGGCCAGACTCATGGAACTCTGTGTTCATCAAGAACTGCAAGAAGCCCCTATCACGAGCCTTTTCCATCCTATGGAGAGGGAGCATGGACACGGGGGTCGTCCCACAGTTACTAAAAACAACAGACATAGCCCCACTCCACAAAGGGGGCAGTAAAGCAACAGCAAAGAACTACAGACCAATAGCACTAACATCCCATATCATAAAAATCTTTGAAAGGGTCCTAAGAAGCAAGATCACCACGCATCTAGAAACCCATCAGTTACACAACCCAGGGCAACATGGGTTTAGAACAGGTCGCTCCTGTCTGTCTCAACTATTGGACCACTACGACAAGGTCCTAAATGCACTAGAAGACAAAAAGAATGCAGATGTAATATATACAGACTTTGCAAAAGCCTTCGACAAGTGTGACCATGGCGTAATAGCGCACAAAATGCGTGCTAAAGGAATAACAGGAAAAGTCGGTCGATGGATCTATAATTTCCTCACTAACAGAACACAGAGAGTAGTCGTCAACAGAGTAAAGTCCGAGGCAGCTACGGTGAAAAGCTCTGTTCCACAAGGCACAGTACTCGCTCCCATCTTGTTCCTCATCCTTATATCCGACATAGACAAGGATGTCAGCCACAGCACCGTGTCTTCCTTTGCAGATGACACCCGAATCTGCATGACAGTGTCTTCCATTGCAGACACTGCAAAGCTCCAGGCAGACATCAACCAAATCTTTCAGTGGGCTGCAGAAAACAAT